CAGCCAGTCTAGTGTCCAGTCATCCCAGGCTCGGGTGGCTTCAAATTCGAGCTAGGAGTCCTTGGGCAGCGCTGACTAATGACGTTCAATAAGCCAGCGGTCCCCACATTACTTGTCGCTATGCGATTGGCTCCGCGAGAACATGTCGCCTAATGTGTTCGGCGAACAGACCTCCGTCACAGATGGGTTTGAATGTTGTCCCCCGTTGCCGTACTTGCTCAAGTGTGTGATCTTCAACTCGATGGCGGCTTTGACGCCCGGAACGACGGACAATGGATTGCCTAGTAAGCTGCTTACCAGTTACACACAGCATCCAACAGGGTGAGTGTCATTGGCCTGACACTCACCGTGCAGAAACGCTTGTAGTATACTTTCTTTCCCTGCGAGCGTGGGAACCAAAACAAGGCGCGTCGCGTTCGAACAGTCTCACACCAAAGGGAAGAAACTGAAATGATTGCTTCTGACTTCTTTGACATCATCAGCCGGCCAGCCAGCCATAGTTCAAACTCGGTTGAGGGAGGAGCGCCCGAGATTAATTAGGCATCGAACGCGACTTCGGGTCAAAGCTCCATCACCTGAGGTACAGGTCCACTTCTTCCTGGTTTCGATCGGGAACAGTCAACGTGTCCGCTGACCTGAACTGGTAATTTCTGACTTCTTTGACATCATCATCAACCGGCCATCTTTCATACCTGGGAGATGGAGGGCCGCCGGGTCTAATTCGACCCCTAGGGACCGGTCCCACTGTCGCGTCAGATCTAGACAGGGGTAGAACACGCTATAGGATGACCCTCTGGTGAGCTATATTTTCCCTCAAATGACGCAGTCGGGCCAACGAGCGGGCAGCCATACTATGTCATATCATTTTATGAGACCAGGAAGACCGTAATACACCTTGTTAGAGTTGAGGGACTATGACCGGTCGCCTTCAGCAGCTTTCGCCGTATCTTTTCATCAGATTACTAGACGTGTAGAAAGGCAAGCGAGTTACATTCTGCGCAAGTATTAATCGTCGTAATTAGAGTAACGTGCAAGCCGCTGTCGCCCTAACAGGCAGTAGTTTGGATGGCGGAGTATGACGAAGGACAAAAAAAACAGTAGACCAACGCTATCAGGAAGATTAGGGGCTGCGTGAAAAGGCAGGTATTCATTCAACCAATGCGGTTACAGGGCTGAATTTAAAGAGATTGGAGACAAGAATTTCCGACGAATAACGCCGGCCAACCGAAAGGTTCTAGTAGACAGTGCCACGGTCTCGGCGAAGCCAATACTTGCATAATTATGAATAAGTGAAAGGGCTGACGTGCGCAGCTGATACACTCACCGGAAATGGTAGGAACCCG